TAGAAAAGAAACAGTGAAGCTATTGATGAAGCTACTACCATTGATGTGACTGATGAAGCAGATGAACCCCATATAAAGCAGAAGCCAACGAGACGGAGACCAGTACGGAAGAAGATACGTCCCGTAAAATTAAGAGACTTTGTTGAATTGTTATTTTGTGTTTGTAATTCTGTACATTTTAATTAAGTTATTGTTATTGGTTTATTGTATGTGGTTATTGTTCGGGACGGACAATACTAAGGAGGGGGCAGTGTTGTGTCAGCGAGGTCACGTGACTAGTGTCACGCCACGTTTCTAGAACTATCCTGTTCCTTCGGGAGTGCTCTAGCATTTGCTAGATTGGGGGTGTTCTGGTATATATAAGATGGTCACGGCGTGACGTGAGAATGTGTGTAGGCAGTGAGTAATTGATCTGCAGTCAGAGAGTATTGTTGAAGTTCGTTATAGCATTTGTTTTAGCGCGAATGTTGAAATCAAGTGTATCGTAAAGTTATATTCGGAAATAATAAACCAGTTTTATTAAGTAAGAACTTGTGTCGCTAAAGTTTCGTCGGAACGAAGTTACGGAAAGTTAATTAACAAACGGAGACGTAACAATATTCTGTCATAACTAAATGGATACATACTAACGACTTTCTTGGCCACTTGACGATGTGTTATTATGTGAAAACTGCACATATTCAGAATAACTGAGAAAGCTTCAATAATACAGTAATATAAGAAAGTAGAAAACGCAAAAATTAATTCTTGGGATTCTCTTATCTGACCTAATAGAGGGATTTTATTGTTATTGTCATAACACACTCATAGCCTCAAAGTACTACCACAGCTCGTACAAAGGTAAATAGTGTATAAAGAAATATAAAGTAACAATAATTTTTAGATGTAATATTGAGATGTGAGCAAAATCCAACCACTCAATAGTCAAATATCAACAGTTGTCAATAGTATGACAGCATGTTCCGCACATGTCGTTCATTTCTTTTAATATTGAGCTTACTGCTGTAAAATCTTATTAACAGTGACAGCATATAACTGATGATTGTATGTAAAAAACGGTTCCTATAAGTTTTATAAAGTTTGTCTATAACGAATCTAATATCTTAGATCATATATATTTATGTGGGCCCATGTATATGTGCATATATATATATATATATGTTTTAATGTATATGTGTATAAGTGTGTGTATGTACAGGAATCTCACAATTACCAGTTATTAATTCCCATTAAATAATCAAGCAAATACAAATAATTAATAAGTGTGGCATGCATATCCTAACATTTACAAGAATCCATGTCTATATTATAAGCCCCTCGAAGGGACAGCGGTAAGTCTACGGACTTACAACGCTAAAATCAGAGATTCGATTCCAAGCGGTGGCTATAGCAGATAGCTAAAACAAACAATATTATAAATCCTAAACGAAGAATAAAGAAATGATTCTCTAAACATAAATTTAATATCGATAGATATAAAGCATAAGCAGCTTCATTTGTTTTTGGCTCTTGATACTACTGTATTAAAATTCAAAAAATAGTTATATTAAATATAGAATGTCTGTGTGCTGGCGTTAGAATAAAATTTTGAATTATTTTTATTTAAGAAAAACATTTTCAAGTTAACAAAAATTAACAACAACATCAACAAAAGAAATATGAGCTGCATTTAACAATATTAATTAACCGAAGAATTTTCCCACGAGATGTCAGGACGATTCGATCTTTTTCTGAATTGTTATATGGTGAGGAAGGTGGAGTGTTATGAGTTAATTTTAAATCTTTGTAATCGGTTGATTTTTACCTATAAAATCTGAAGTTTTACATTCTGATTAATAGCTGTACCTTTAATCAACTGCATTTATTCATTTTTATATGTATTTCAGGTGACGACATTGACAATATTACCATAATGTCTGACGTCGAAGTGTAAGTTTTATTCTCTGAAAATTGTTTGACTTAAGTAATTTTAAGAGTAGAGCAGTTTATTTTTGTTATAAGAAAAAACATTTTGAAATTGGACAGTTGGTAGTTCTATATGTGAAAACGGTATTGTTATTGTGTTTACCCTAACAATTCGCATGGTAGTGGTTGCGTACATAATGGTAATAATAATTAATAACAGTAACATGATCAACGCATAAGGCCAAAAGACTGTTACTGTAGTGTTAGCGGCTTCAAGTTCAACATCAGGGCTGTCCTTGTATACCGACACCCACCCTTGAAAAGATAAAAATTTCAACCCACCTTTTAATTTTCAATAAATCTTAATCTACACCCTAAACTTTCTTTGTTACATGATATCCTGAAACATAACTGCTACCCACAACGCTTATTAGAAAACATTACCAACACCTTCCTAACAAAGAAACTCACAAATCCAATTAAGATATCAACTGTACCCAAACTTGCTATATGCTCGTGTCTTCCCTATACTGGTAGACAAAGCTTTGAATTTTAAAAAAATCAACTTGAATGCATACTTGGTTGTTACTACCCTCAAGTAGATTTCAGATTAGTTTTTAAATCCATATCTTGCATACAAATTTTTTTCCTTACTAAAGATCACCTTGCCATTCCTTATTGTTTCTGGCTTGTCTATCTTTACACGTGTGGATACTGTAAGGCCTCCTATATTGGCAAAACCAAACGGCATTTGAAAGTCGAACATATGGAAATTTCCAGCATCAGTTCCCCTTTTAAACTTTTGTTAACTGTTGCTGTTAGCCTTCACTGCTGCTGACATTCAATGCACAAATAAGTCACTATATTACATTATTGTTGTTAGAAAAATAAAACTGTCTTAACTGGAACCTAGCCTGCCTTTTTCAAAACCTTAAACTTGTGTCTTATTATGTTTAGAATGTAAGATGAGCCAGAGATCTTGTATATTGATCCCATTTAATATTGTAAATTTCATTAAGAGAAAAGTAGACAAATTGTAAAGTATTCTTGAGGTTGGACATGCAGGAACTTTGCCATCCCAAAATGCAATGTCTGCATAGCAACCGAGGCAAACAAATAGTGCAACAAAGGGAAAATTTTGTTCATTATGTACACTTGCCTGCTGTCTAGACTCTTATTTATAACAGCTGTTTGTGTTTGTGACAAACTTTTGTGGATCCAAACCTACAAATATGTTAAAGAGTTGTTGCATATTCATTGCACCAATAACAAGTTGAAAAGACCCAAACTTTCCTTCTATTTGATACCCAGACCTCCAGCTCGCCTTAATAATAAGCATAAAACAAATGTTTCTGGAATTCTATTCCTAGACTAGAATAGTCTAGACAGTTTGTTGATAATTGTTTTAAAAACTAGTTCAACCTGGTAGTTTACTTTTTAATGTACGTTTTCCACAAAAGCAAGGTAGTGAAAAGGAAGGAAGAGTGTTGTGGCTGAAAGTTATCAACTGTGGAACACAGGAAGCAATAGGAAAGCTGTTGGAGTCAAAATCTGACCATAACTATGTGTGTTCAGCTCATTTTATATAATGTAAATGTTGTCTTCTGATTTGTTTTTTTAACATGAGATAATAGTACATGTCTGGGTATTGTACACTAGGCCATTCTGTTGGGTTGTTAATCCATGAATTGGCAGGATGCTGATAGGGACAAGAATCAAGCCAAGTTGTACATTTTACTCGATATCTCGATGATGCCTCGGCCAACAATTTCTCTATCTGTTGGTAAGATGTTTCAATTGATAATTTGACTATCAAACAATAATATATAAATGATAATTAAATAATTTTCACAGCAGTAACGTGTATATGGTAGACCTATATAAATTGTGTACACTTATCTGTACTCGAATCGCTATTGTTTGCCACTTTATAAAGATGGTGATTGCGTTACCAGGATTTTAAGATAACCCTTCCATCCCTGGAATCATCCTAGTAACCACTCTACTTCTAACAGGTCAATATACTTTCTTAGATAAGCAGCCCAAAACTCTACACAGTATTCCAAGTGAGGCCTAATTAGTGATTTGTGTAGAGACTTATGATCAGTATGTCTATAAATATACCCTAAAATTCTGATTACAGTACTGCATCATTATAATTCTACCATCGGGAGCCATGTGTACCCAAGAGTGATATAGGTGGGGGAGCATTATAACCAACTAATTAAACCATTACCGCTTTAATGATATCATTTATGACCAGATCAATGGAATCTCTGCTGGGTCCAATGATATACAGTAGTTTGCTTTACTACCACAAATGCAAGTGGCTAGAAAGTTACCCATATGGCTTTAAACCTGTCCTTTACAAATGCTGTATTGATGGCACTTTCTTGCTATTTTGACAGTTGAGTTACATTTCCAAATTCCTTATCATAGTTCCTAACATAAGTTCATATCTGAACTTAATATTTATATCTCTGTTCTTTGCACTATGAACTTCCCACTTTATTTTGTGACAGTGTGTAATGACTTTAGCCTCTGTAGCAATGAGCTAAGCAGCAGACGATAGTCCAAGGCACCACTGCATTATGTCCGAGAAAGTGTTATAACTGATGGCATTGTAATGAGGCAGTACTGTACTACTAGCAATAGAGCACTGTTTTAATCCGAGAAAGTGTTATAACTGATGACATTGTAATGAGGCAGTACTGTACTACTAGCAATAGAGCACTGTTTTAACCCTATTGCTACAGATTAAAGGACATCTATTGCTAGTAGTACAGTACTGCCTCATTATTAGTTTAATAAAATGTTGAATGTGAGTCAACAAATGTGTTATCACATAGGGTTAAAACAGTGCCTGCTACAGATTAAAGGATGTGTAATAACACATTTGTTGACTCACATTCAACATTTTATTAAACTAATATTTTATGAATGTGTGTCAATAAGTTTGGTATCAGATTAGTATGATCCATTAGTTAATTTTTTAAATTAAATAAATCCTAAATATCGATTTTTGTGTGTCACGTGGTATGTTGAATGCAGTGTTTGGTTCAAATTAGATGTTTGTGATGTCAAAATACAAAGTCTATAGTTTCTTATGAATTAGGAACTCAAATTACCAATATTGACAAGCTAGAATATAAAATAAGGTTTTATCTTTGCTATTTGATGATATATCACTACATTTACAAAATCAAACGGTGGTCCTGCCACCTCTTTCCTTACATACACCTACTTCTGTCTATGACATGTGAATAACCAATCAAAAGCTCAGAATGTCCCCCACATGGTTCTCTGAGCCTTTGCAAATTATTTACATGGGAAACCCTTTCTTTTCTTGGCAGATTTCAAACAATAAGGTAAGACTTTAGTGAGCTCAAAATTTCATATTTTTGTAGACCCAAATATGGGTTAATTATTAAGCTTGATAAATTAGTGGAATTCTATGGTATCAATATAGTAATTTATAATTTTTGGTTATTTCAATTTATATATATATAACCTAAAAAAATTATTTTATTTCGCATCCTCTAAGTGCAAAATTTTATAAGGCTTAGCAGCCTATGGCAACCAACAAATGAGTACAAAGTTTGTAACTAGAAGGGATAACTGCTTGCTATATTTCTTTATTTCTAAATGGTAGTAATGTATTATAACTGAAATGTGACTGCATCTTACAAAAATACAGTCAATACAGGTCACTTTGTAAGGGTCAGTTTTATATTCTTGGATACAGTAACATGAGTGCATGTGCGCTGCATCATTGTAACTTCTATAGTGTTAGTCAGGCGTGGCTGAAAGGTCAATATAATAAATATATATATATATGAATGTATACTGTTAAGAGATTTAAGCTATTTAGACTAAATATTTGTTTTTTCAAGTTATAATATGTAGTCATTCTAGAACCAAAAAAGTATAACATATTTTTTATGGTGGTTACGAGGTCAATCAAATCGACCCAACCCGTACAGAGATACAATAGTGAAAATAACAGGTCAAATATAAAAGTTTTTTATAACAAAACATTTGATAATTATCTGGAGGTTAAAAAGATTTTGCATGTCAAATTTGAAAATTTTTGATACATAAAAGTAGTTTTAATCTTAAAATCAAAATTATTTTGCATGTTTGATAGTCAACATTTGAAAAGAAAAAGCACAATAAAATCATTACTTAAGAAATCTTCAAAGTTAATAAAATAAGTGATATTTTGCATACAAAAGCCTAATAATGTTTATTAATAATATGTAAAATTTTGTAAAGATGTGCTTACGTTATCAAAGATCACTATAATTACTCTCATGGTTACGAGCTGGGTGGATCCCATCCAATCTGTAATGGTAAGGTTAATGGCTTGAGTAATTTATGCACCTTTGTGTTAAGATGTTTTGTTTTTTTTCAATCGTGCTATTTAGTGGGTTCATGTCTAGGGACTGAACCTTAACTTTTGAAGACACTACCAAATAAAGCTGTAATAAATGGTTAATTTTGACTTTAGAAGACTCAAAATACATTACCAAATGAAGGTTAAAATTTTTAGTTGTACTAATTTACTGATACGTCCAAAACTAGCTTATATTTAGTGGTAAAACCTTTTGCATTTAATCCATATAAAGAAATAAAACATTTACAGGAACATGTTATTTTAAGTAATAATAAAAATGCATGTTTGTGTACACTTGTTTGTTGCTATGTGCAATACTGTCATGTTTGTGTACACTTGTTTGTTGCTATGTGCAATACTGTCATGCTTGCGTACTCTTGTTTGTTGCTATGTGCAATACTATCATGGTTGTGTACACTTGTTGTTACTATGTACAATACTGTCATGTTTGTGTACACTTGTTTGTTGCTTTGTGCAATACTGTCATGTTTGTGTACACTTGTTTATTGCTATGTGCAAAACTGTCATGTTTGTGTACACTTTATTGCTATGTGCAATACTATCATGTTTGTGTACACTTGTTTGTTACTATGTACAATACTGTCATGTTTGTGTACACTTGTTTGTTGCTATGTACAATACTGTCATGTTTGTGTACACTTGTTTGTTGCTATGTACAATACTGTCATGTTTGTGTACACTTGTTTGTGGCTATGTGCAATACTGTCATGTTTGTGTACACTTGTTTGTTGCTATGTGCAATACTGTCATGTTTGTGTACACTTGTTTGTTGCTATGTGCAATACTATTTTAGTTACATACAGTAAGCTTGTACATTATAGGCAACTTTCCATGATAAACCTGAGGTATAAATTGTGTTCAATATTTAACTTTGACAACATCAATAAAAGACTTCTAACAACTTTGTTTTTTTATCACTGATATTCTTCAGATGACTGAACTTTTGTTTTCTCTATATGAAGAAGTCAAATGAGACCCTTCCATCCAGCTCGTAACCATGAGAGTAATTATACTATAGATATTTTGATAATGTACACATATATTTACAAAATTTTGCAGATTATTGGTAAACATTATACAAAATATTAGGTTTTTATATTTAGTATTAAGATTTTTTAATTAAAGATTTTCTCGTAAAATTTTTTGTTTGAGAATGTTGACTATCCGACATGCAAAGTAACTTTGATTTTAATATTACAAATACTTTTATGCAACAGAACATTTCCAAGTTTCAGATGTGAAATTATCAAAAATTTTTTAGAAAAAAATATTTTGTTATTTTCACTACTATGGGTTGGTTTGATTTGACCGACTTTGTAACCTCGATAGAAAATTAAGAAATAAATATAAATTATGCTTTTTTTAAGTTCTTAAATTTCAGTTATGTTTCTTAAAACTTAGAACAGTAAATAAAGAATTCTCTCTCCTACTTATGAAATTTGAACTTTGCTGTTTGCTGTAGGTTGCTAAGCCTTATCAAATTTTACAAAAAGATGTGAAACAAAATGATTTTTTTAGGTTTTATATATACATTCTGAAATAACCAGAAATCATAAATTACACTATCAATACCATAGAATTCCACTATAATCTATCAAGCCAAGGAACTAAGCTGTATTTGGATCTAAAAAATATGTGAAATTTTGAGCTCACTTAAGACTTACCTTATCATTTGAAATCTGCCATGAAAAGAAAGGATTTCTTGCATAAATACTTTGCAAAGGCTCATTCTGGATATAGACTCTTTAGACACAACTGAAGAAATATATAGAAACAACAGAAGAAATTTTCCCCAAACAAGTAAAAATAAATGTTTGACATGACATTCTAGAACTTATAGAGACCCAGAGATGTATAAAAGATTAGATAAGAAGGTCAACAAGAAGTAAAAGAAATATGCTGCTTCAAGAAGTAAAGAATAATTGGAATACAAAACATCATGTTCCAATAGGGGAGGCTTAAAGGCAGAAGATGGCACCAATCTTAATTGTGGAAGAAGATATTCTAAATAGGTGGTCTAATTATATTGAAGAGCTTTTTGAGGACAATAGAGGTAACAAACCAGAAATAAAAAATAACATAGATGGACCACCCATCCTAAAAGATGTAAGTTGGAATATATATATATATATATATAATACAACTTTAATAAAATATATGACAGCAGTGAAATTCCCATAGATTTGAGTAGATCAGTTTTTGTTGGAAACCTGGAGCAACTGAATAGAAATTACATTGCATAATTAGTCTAATGGGTCACATGACTGATATTATTTTCCAAATCCCCATGATGAAATAATATCAGAAATAGCTCTAGAACAAAACGGTTCTGTTGATGATAAAGGAACTATGAATACCATATTTATTCTACAAATGCTCATAGAAAGTGCAATTGAGGTTAAAAGAGACCTCTACCTCTGTTTTATTGACCATACAAAAGCTTTTGATAAAGTGAAACATGATGAATTGTTTTTGGTGTCCTTAAATTTTAGATATTGATGGCAAAGATCTTTGTGTGATCTGAAATCTATTGGAATCAAACAGCAATAATGAGGGCATATGATGAATTGAGTGTCTTCAAAAAACAAAGAGGAATGAGACAAGGGTGTTTGATCACCTGCTTTATTTAACATCTCCAGTGAAAATATCCTAAGAGACATCAGACACTTAACTGGTGTAAATCTGAGCAGATACAATTTGAGAAACCTCTGATATGAAGATGACATAGTTTTGACAGCAGGATCAGAATCAGATCTGCAACATCTTTTGAACATAGTGGTTCTTGAAAGTGAAATCAAAGCTTTATCCCTCAAAAAAGACTATGATCATATCAAAGGAAACACTTGTACCACCCTGTAATATATAAAGCAAAGAGGATATAATAAAACATGTTGACAAATGAAAATAATCAGGCTTAACCATAACAACAGATGGATAAAGAAAAGGAATGGCAATAGATTCTTTCTGTAAAACGAGCCCAGTACTAAAGTACAAAAATATTCATGTGACTGTTAACACTCAAGTTATGTTTGGTTTGTTTTACTATATGGATGTGAATGTTGGATGGTAACTAAAGAAGGTACAAGCCACTGAATATGGTTTTGGAGAACAATGCTTGGGATAGCATGGGCTGAAAAAATTACAAGTGAAAAAGTGCTAGAAAGAGCAAAATCAAGAATATCTCATAAAAAAACCATCAGAAAAAAAAAATAGTTACAATTTCTAGGACATGTTATCTGCAAAGATGGCTTAGAATATCTGTTACTGACAGGAAAGATCAAGGGAAAAAAAAGAGGATAGCAAAGAACAAAGTATGTAACTAGCCTAAGGAAGTGGATGGACAACCCAACACGGAAAGTTAGCTTAAGACGAAGGAGCACTGTGTTTAAATATATGTAGACCCAAGACAACTTTTCATGTAATTATTCAATAGGTATGGTAAAAGAAAGCACTTCAGTTATTTTTTCTAACCCAGAAAATTGTTCTATGGTATGGCAGAGTATGTTTATTTATTTAATATTGTAATCGTTGATTTATACATTATTTTTAAGTGTTGTTGCATTTCTACTTGCATATAGCTGTATTTGTTTGTCATGGCCAAAATATACAAGATGAAGAGAAGTATAGAAGTAGGACTGGGTGATCGTTAGAAGTTATACATACATTTTATGTTGTTTGAGGAGAAATTTTAAAATTAACCTGCAATCAGAGCAAGTTACGTACTTAGCTAACAACTAATATGAATGTAGTTAGTTAAATAAATTTTTCTTACATTCCTGTTCATAAAGATTATAATTAATTGTTTATTCAGTTTAGTACCTGTACTGTTAGTATATTTTTTACCCTTAACCCATTATTAATGCAAAACCAATAAAAATAATTTTGGTTAACTGGAATAATCCAACCTTAGTAATAAGCAAATTGAGCTTAATTCAAAAATAGTCTAATTTATATATGAATGTTTTAAACTTCTCAATACTTAAAAATTTACTATGCTGGGAAAATGTCAGAAGTCACAATTTTTATTAAATAACTAAAGTGTTACAGAATATCTCACTTGAACATGTGTAGTTCTACAGTTTACAAAAAAGTATGCTTTGTTTATCTTGGTCTTGTGATGTTCTACTTCAATTTTATTATTGGATATTCTATTTTTGTCACTTGTTTGAGAGGTCCATTAACAGTTTTTGTGGTGTTGATTTTGTTCTGGAGTGTTTGTTCAAGGATTATGCAGTGTACATATAATGAGAACAGTCTCTCAAAATATCTAATAGTTAATTAAGTTTTTATTTTTTCTTTAAAATTATTGTTTACTTCCCTACTGTTACTTACTGTTTGTTTTAAACATTGCAAGTTGTGCTATCTGTGTTAGTAGCACCCAAATACTGTACACACTTAATACTAAAGTCGTTAATTACAAATTTTCTGTTTCATTGGCTACATGTGGTCAGTTGAGTTGATGTATCATGAAGAAAATAGGATTAGTTTTAAAGTGGAACTAGTCAGTTTTTCAGCTTTATTGGCTTAGCAGTGACACTATAAAAATTTAATTTATATCAAGTATTTTTAAGCAGAACTTTGTATTTTACACTACAAAAATTATTCCTAAATATAGAAATAAAAACAACCTGAGGTTTCAGTATGTTTAAGGTTAATATTTGTGAAAAAGAATTGTTTCTTGCAACTTTACAAATTAACTATACAATTATTATATGCCATACACTAGAAAAATTCCTAAATGTAGAAGTATAAAAAAATCATTCAAAGGTTGAAATACGTTTAAGGTTACATAATTTCTATGAAAAAGAATTATGGTGCTTGCACCTTCACGAGTGAACAATAGAATTAATATATATATGTTCACATAGCTAAATTATTTTAGGTTACTATATGGTGAAGAAAAAAAGACTCAAAACTCCATAAAATTAATATATGCTGTACATATTATTCAGATCCCAAATCTTTTTGATTTTTAGTTATTAACATTTTAACTTTCATCAACAGAGAAGGTGCAGTGGCTGGGACTATGGATGTTAACACAGCCCTACAGGAAGTCCTCAAGTTGGCTTTAATACATGATGGTTTAGCACGTGGCCTTCATGAAGCAGCAAAAGCTTTGGACAAGTAAGAGTTTTTGTTTCTAAAATTGGTAACTGAAAGAGTTAAACAGTCTGGTGTAATTTTTTTGTTTTTAAGTTCATAGAAGTGTTTAGTAAATATACACCTGGAAAAAAGTTAAGCACCCCCGTGTTTTTTTCAAGTGATTCAGATTCGACGTTCTTGTGAC